CAGACTTCCCTCCCTGAGATCTGGCGTATCGAAAAAGTTGATATATCTGGAGAAATTGCGACTGGACCCCCAGACCCCCTATTTCTGCGCCATTTTTAGAGCCGGATTCACCTGTGATGGTCCCGGGGCCCGCAATTGGGCGAAAACGTCCAGCTTGAAAAAATTGTGTCGCCAGGATCTAAGGGACGAGGACGACGACGAGGGCGGCGGCAGTGGGGGCTACGACTGCGAAGGCGGCGGTGGTGGATCGGCGGCGGTGGCGGCGGCGACGACCGTTTCGAGGAGCAGCGGCGACGACGACCTCGTGTTCGCCCAGTTGCGGGCCCCGCGGGGCCCGAACATGTGCGAACACGTCTGGCACGAAAAAAATGACTCGCCAGGAGGAGGATGAGGAAGAGGAGGAGGAAGGAGGAGGGAAAGGAGGAGGAGCAGGAGGAGGAGGAGGAGGAGGAGGAGGAGGAGGAGGACGAGGAGACGAGGAGGAGGAGGAGAGGAAAAGGAGGAGGAGGAGGAGGAGGAGGAGGAGAAGAGCAGGAGGACGAGGAGGAGGAGGAGGAGGAGGAGGAGGAGGAGGAGGAGGAGGAGGAAGAGGATGAGGAGGAGGAGGAGGAGGAGGAGGAGGAGGAGGAGGAGGAGGAGGAGGAGGAGGAGGAAGAAGCGGAGGAAGGAGGAGGAGGAGGAGGAGGAGGAGGAGGAGGAGGAGGAGGAGGAGGGAGAGGCAGAGGAGGAGGTGTGTGTTTTTCGCTCGTCTCCCTCTCCGTGTGCGGCCTCTCGCTCTGCGGGCTGCTGCCGCCCCTGGACGCCCTCCTGGGCATCTCCGTGCGCGCCCGGCGCAGCGCGGGCGGCGCCCTGCGGGCCGCGCGGCCGCGGGCGGCGGCCGCCGGCCTCCGCCGGCGGCGGCGCCGCCGGAGGCCCGCGCTGCCGGCGGCGGCGCGGCGGCCGTCCCCGAGTATCGGGGCCCTACAGCCTTTTTTTGTTTTTGTCCTGTAGGCTCAGGCAAGTTAACTTGCATGGCGTTTGCCGCCCCCTCTCGCCATTCTTCAAACGAATGCTAGCGTGCAAGTGCCGTTCGACTTGCGTGATTTCCGCACATGCAAGTCGTTTGCGGCTTGCTTCAGGTTCAGCCTCCCCCCCCGTCCATGCAAGTTAATTTGCCGGGGTCTAACAACAAACAAGCTCCAAGTGGTGTGGTGACCACACCGCATGGGTATGCAGTTCGGGGGTAACGATCGAGGGGAGGAGCGCGGCGAGTGCTCGAGGTCTCTGGCCGCTGCCGTGGATTCGCGGCGGCTTCCTGGCCTTGAGGTGCTCTCCAGCAGCTGCGCATCGCCGATGGCGTTCTGGGGGTGCCCGGATCATCGGCCGCGGGAGATCCGAGTTATGGTTCAAAAATCAAGGGGGAACGCGATGGGGGGGGGGACAGGCATAGGGTGGGATGCATCGACCCCCAATCGCCCATTGATCACCGATAGGGGCCCGGTAGCCCCCACCTGCCCAGGAGCGTGCGGATTCATTATCGGGGGCCCATCGCCGATTTATCGGCGATGTATCGCCGATTCCTGGTCGATGTTTCCCCCCTTATGCCTGTCCCCCACTATTGTTGCCCCTCAACAGTCAAGGCGCTGAAAGAAGGATCACGTCGGGCTCAGGAGGGGCTCGGGTTTTCGTGCCGTTCCTCAGATATGGGTCGGGGAACCTGTTTGTGGCCTAGGCCCGCCGTGGCCAGAAGCGCCCATTCGTTCCTTGTTTGGTGTTCCTTCTGGTAGCGTGTCGACTGTATGCCTCCCGCATGGGGTCTTTGTATATTGGGTCGGAGTAGATGGGGTCGGAGGATCGCGCCGCTTCGCCGATGCATCGGCGATGCCGCTCGATGGGTGGCCCGATTTTCTCCGCGCCGGCGTCGCCGATGCACCGCCGACATCGCCGATGCATCGCGGATGTATCGGCGATGCGGCGCGATCCTCCGACCCCGACGACCAGGACCCCATTTGGGAGGCCTCTAGCGGGGTCTGGGGCCACCGCACGGTCCTGGGGGGTCGTTCTCCGAGGACGCCTCGGGCGACGGGGCCCTCCGGGATCCCAAGACCGTGCGCTGGCGGACCTGCGCGGTGAGGTCGCTGGGGACTCCGAGGTCGCCACGCGGTCCCTCGCCGCACGGCTTGGGGGCCCCGAGGAGCAAGCCTCCCGAGGCCCGGCTCAGCTGGGGGAGCGAAGGACGACACGGATACAGAGCCTCGGAGGTCCGCGCGGATTCCTCGGATCGGCGCTGGCCCCCCCCCCCCCCACTCCTTGGCGCGCGGAGCGTGCCAGGGGCGGCGCCTGAGGCGCCGCCGGGGGGGTCCAGCGCGGATCCGAGAAATCCGCGCAGACCTTCGAGGTTTCATGCGCATGCCGCTGCTCTCGCTCCCCTGCCGGCCGCTGTGGCTCGGGCTGGCGCTTCTGGTGTGCGCCCTGGCGGTGGCGCTGGCGTGCGCCCCGGGCGCCCGGCCGAGCTGAGCCGGGCGGGGGAGCGCCGCTCGGCGGCGCGCTCCCCGGGGGGAAGGCAGGCGGGGCGGGCCTGCCCAGGATCGCAGGCTCCTCCTCCTCCTCCTCCTCCTCCTCCTCCTCCTCCTCCTCCTCCTCATCGTCATCGTCAACATCCTCCTTATCCTTACCCTTGTCATTCTCCTTGTCCTTATCCTTGTCCTTATCCTTATCCTTATCCTCCTCCTCCTCCTCACCCAGAATCGCAGGCGCGCACAGGGGGTGGTGGGGATGGGGGGGAGGCTTCTTAGAAGGAGGCTGCTTCTAGAGATGCAGGGCCAGCACCTTCTAAGAGGTGGCCTCCATCCAAGAAGCCTCCCCCCGACACCCCCTGTGCGCGCCGCCTATAATCGCAAGCGATTTTTCTCTCCCAGCCCCCGACTTTTTGACGAAATCTAAAGCCGCTCGGAAAAGGAGGGGGACCCTGGGATATACCCCGAGGGGACCATTCGGACGCAGCGCTATCGAGGATGGACGCCCCCCATTGTGTATCCCAGGGTTGGGCCCAAGATTTCAGATCTATTCGAAAGCCTCCCAAAGCCTGGGATAGGGGTCGACATATTCCCTGTTACAGAAGGCTCAGGAGGCCTCTGGCCTTCTTGAAAGCTTCCTACGCCTTCTTCTCGGCATCGCTCGGACGTGTGCATTTTTTCATCGGCGAGGACCATCGAGGAGCCTCTTGTATCATGTTGCAAGAAACAAGCACGCACGAGATCGACCAATGCACGGCCATGAGATCCGACGTAGCGAAAAAACGCAACATACAAAAATCTCGCCTGGAGCCCTAGACCCAATCTTTCTGCTTAATTTTTCGAGCCGGATCCATCTGTAAGGGTCCCGGGGCCCGAAAAAGGCGAAAGCGCCCGATTCGAAAAAATGAGACGCCAGGATCTCAGGGGGGAGATGGACGTCCGAGCGGTAGCGAGTCTCTGGAGCCACGGATGGCTCTTCAGAAGGCGAGAGAAGTCCCGCGCGGTCCTGCCCCCCCCCCGGGGCGCGCCGCCGCTCCGCCGGGCACCTGGCGCCGCAGCTGCGGGCCGCTGCTCGACGTCGCCGCCGCCGCCGCCAGCGCCGCCGCCGATCCGCCACCGCCACCTTCGCAGTCGTATAGCCCCCGCTGCCGCCGCCGTCGTCGTCGCCCTCGTCCCTGAGATCCTGGCGACTCTCGATCTGTGGAGCCGGGCGTCATTTTGCCAAGTTGCGGGCACGGGGACCCTCACAGATGGCTCCGGCTCGAAGAATGGCGCAGAAAGATGGGGTCCGGGGCTCCAGTCGTGATTTCTCACGATGTTTTTCGAGACGTCGGATTTCAGGGTCGTCGTCGTCGTCGTCGTCGTGGTGGCCTGCGCAGCGGCGGGGGCAGGCGCCGCCGAGTTGGCGGGCCGTATCCCTCGCCGGCAGATGTTTCCAAGGCACTCCCAAGGGAGCCCCACGACGCAACATTTCATAATTTGCTTGAAGTTTTTTCGGGATCTCGGAGTCTTCGCCTTTTCGTCTGCCCAGCGCTCCAAGACGCTGCGTTTTGCGGGGGTGCGGGTGTTTGCTTGCAGTGACTCCTGGGTGTGCTTGCAGTGCCTCGAGACGCCCGTTGGGGCCCTGCCCGCCCGACTGGGCTTCTCGCGCCGCCAGCACTTGGTGCCCCGCCCCGGACGCGGGCGGCGCGACACGGCGCGACACGCGGCACGGCGCGCGGCACGGCACGCGTCGCGGCGGACGGCACCGCACACGGCACGGCGCTGATGTAGGAGTGTAGGAGGTGTCGGCGACCACGTAGGCGAAGTCGCGGCGCTCCTCGGGCGAGGGGTGCGCTCCTCGGGTGCTGGCAGAGACCCCCCCGCGACCCCCGCTCAGCCGAATCCGGCGCGGCGGCGAAGGGCGACCGAAATCGATCCAATCCAGCCGTGTGCGACCAGGCCTCCGCGAGTGCTCCTGCCGCTGAACGAAGACTCACGATGCATGAGGAGGAGGAGAAGGAGGATGAGTCCGGAGGAGGACGAGGAGGAGGTGGAGGAGGAGGAGGAGGAGGAGGGGGAGGAGAGGGGGAGGAGAGGGGGACGAAGAGGAGGAGGAGGAGGAGGAGGAGGAGGAGGAGGAAGAGGAGAAAGAGGAGGAGGAAGAGGAGGACGACGAGGAGGCCGACGAGGAGGAAGGAGGAGGAGGAGCAGGAGGAGGAGGAGGAGGAAGAAGAGAAGGAGTGGGAGGAAACGGACGAGGAGGAAGGAAGGAAGGAAGGAAGGGAGGAGGAGGAGGAGGAGGACCAAGAGCAGGAGTAGGAGGAGAAGGAGAAGGAGAAGGATGAGGAGGTGGAAGAGTAAGAGTAAGAGGAGGACGAGGAGGAGGAGGACGAGGAGGAGGAGGAGGAGGAGGACGAGGAGGACGAGGAGGAGGAGGAGGAGGAGGAGGAGGAGAGCGACGAGAGCAAGGGGTACGGCTAGGGCGAGGAGGTGGAGTATGAGGAGCCGGCCGCCAACCAGCAGGGAGCTGGACATGCCGCCCTCGGACGTCGCCATCAAGGGCAAGAACGGCCGTCCGGGGAAAGCCTCGGCCCTTAGAAGACCCCGATTCGTCGCTCGAGGCTCCCTCTCCTCCTCCTCGCTCCTCCTCCTCCTCCTCCTCCTCCTCCTCTTCCCCCTCCTCCTCCTCCTCCTCCTCCTCCTCCTCCTCCATTCCTTCTCCTTGTAGATCACTCCTCCCTGTCGCACCCCGAGGCCAGTTTTTAGGGCGGGCCGGGCGTTTCGCCTGATACTTCCTCATCACTTATGACCCTGAAGCTTAAAAAGTGGCAACAGTTTCACAGATGGAGGGCGGGTCGCTTTCAACATGTGGCTCTCGCTTTAGCGCCGCGCACATTTGTTCAACACATATGCACGAGCTTCACGGATTGAGAGCGGGTCGCTTTCAACATGTGGTTCTCGCTTTAGCGCCGCGCACATTCGTTTTGAACATTAGCAAGAGTTTCACGGATAGAGGGCGGATCGCGCCGCGCACATTTGTTTAACACATGTGCACGAGCTTCACGGATTGAGAGCGGGTCGCTTTCAAAATGTGGTTCTCGCTTTAGCGCCGCGCGCATTTTTTTTAACATTTGCAAGAGTTTCACGGATAGAGGGCGGATCGTTTTCAAAATGTGGCTCTCGCCTTAGCGCCGGGCACATTCGTTTTAAACAATTGCAGAAGTTTCACGGATTGAGGGCGGCTCCTTTTCAAAATACGGTTCTTGCCTTAGCGCCGCGCACATTCGTTTAAACAAAAACTGAAGAGTTTCACGGGCTCCCATGAACAGTGTATCAAACATGGTGTTTAGGAAGGATTCCGGATTATGCGGGCGCAGCAATTGTGTTCATTCTTTGTGTTGACATCCCAAACATGGCGTTATGGCACGGTTCCAGATCGCCAAAACGCAGCAGTCAGGTTGATACGTGGTTTTGGAATCCCAAGAACAATGTTTTGGCATGCTTCAGGATCTTCAAACGGTTGTCTTCCAACGAGGCAGTTCCCTCAATGGAAATGAACCGTTGTAGGGGCCTATGAAGAGGGAGCTTGGAGGGAGGGTTAATTCCAACATCGTTGAGGACTCTTGGGTTTACACTGGTCCTCCTCCTCCTCGTCCTCCTCCTCCTCCTCCTCCTTCCCCGGGGACGCAACGTCTGGTCGCAGTGCAGCGTGCAGTTTTTGCTACCTATCCGCGCGAGGTCGAGCACGCGTGGATCGGTCATGACGAGGGTGTGCACCAGGTTCGACGGCGTGGCATGCGCACGAGTGCGCAAGAACGTATGCAGCGTGTGCGTGAGCAGGGCCATTCCCCGCTCTAGCTGCGCACCCTCATTAAGTGCAATGTGTGTGTGTGTGTTTTCGCGTTTGATTTGAAAGGATGTCTTGCGACTTTTTGGCCTGGCAGGTGCCAGGATAGTCGTTTCCCGCGCTCTGTCGCGCCACGTGACGAGGATGAGGTTTTGGGTCCTGGTGCCGTGGTTTCTGCTCCTGCTCACCCGTTGGCCATCCAGTGCCACGAGACCCATTCCTTATCCGTTCTTAACGGAGTTTTGTTTTGTACGATTTGCGGGGGTCTCGCGGTGCTGAGTCTCCGAGGGCTCCGTGCTGAGTGTCAGCCTCCGACCAAGACAGGTCGGGAGGTTTTGAGTCGAATCGAGAGGGGGCTCCCGCCAAAGTCGGGAATTCAATTCCCTGAGTGAAGTTACTGAGGCGGCCGAGCTAGCACTCGGGACCCGCGCTGAGGTCATAGCTCCATAGCTCCTCCTTCCCAAGGGGAGGGGGGTAGGCTGTTGTGGGACTGTGCCCCTCCCCTCCTCCTCTCTTCCTTCTCATCGTCACCTCCCCCTCTCTTCTTCTCTCCTTTCCCTGGGGCTCACAGTTCCCACGGCGGTTCACCCCCCCGCCGGGGTCGAGGCCGGATGACCCGCGGCGGCGCGCGGAGCGCGCTGCCGCCGTGAGACACGCGGCGGTTGATTTTTCAGCTGCGTGCATTCTGTGAAAGCCGAACCTTGTCGCCCCAGGCGCGGCCTGGGGTAGGAGACGCTTTGTTTCGTCGCCACGGTGCGCGTTTCGCAGCTGCGGGGAGCAGGGCAGCGAAATCCAGCGACATCCTGCCATCCATATTTCCTGGCGGCGGCCCGGCGACCATCCATATTTAACGTTGTTTTGCATGTTTGGTCCTCTCCGCTCTGCTGCGCGCTTCTTCTGCTGCCTCTGCTCGTCTCCTGTCCCCGCCCTTTCCCCCTCCCCTTCCTCCCGCCCGCCCTCTTTCTTCTTCCGCTTTCGTCTCGTCTTGTCGTCTTTGCCGCCCCCCTTCCCCGCCGCCCCCCTCCCCCCCCCCTCGGCCACATCCACGCAATCTTCGGCGAGCGTTGCGCGAATCGATGTGATGCGCACGCGGCGGTTCGTCGGCCCAGTGCCGCGTCCGAGTTTGCCGCTTCTGCCCGCGGCGGATGCGCCCTGCCCCCGGCGGCCCTCCTAAATGCGACGGATGTCCCGGGCCTGTCATGGACACGACACGGCGAAGCGGGCCACGTCAAGTTGTTGCATAGGCTTTGAACCCAGCTCTTGTGAAGACGCGCGCGCGTGAAGCAGGAGGGCGGGGGGGTGTAACGGCGAGAAGCTGGAGGAGGAGAAGGAGGAGGAAAAGGGGGGGGGGGGAGAAGGAGAAAGAAGCAGTAACCAACATGGCGGGAAACGGGTCCTTTAGGGGCCCTTTATCCATAACCGACGCCTGCCCGATCGATCTTCTGGGACCTCGGCGGGCGGCGGATATGGACAGATGCGGTCCCCCTCCCATCCCAGGATCTATTTTGATCCGATCGATCCGTTCCGATGCACAATCGGTTTCGGTTAAGTATTTAGATGCGATCCGATTCTGATTTTCCGACGACCCGATGCGGCCCGAGGTTTGTTTGGCGCTGTTGCGTAACCCAAGGCGGGCGATCCGACCCGATTCCGATTCTCTGCCGGCGCCGCCCGAACCGACGCGCTCTGGGATGCGATCCGGTTTGCCGATTCGATGCCGGCTGATCCTGCCGCTCCTTCCCTCCGTCAAGCGTTGGAAGGCGGCGTCGGCGCGTCGTGGGCGAGCGGGCCGCCACGCGGCCCGCGCGGTCGGACCTCGTGGTGAATGGGCCGTCTCGTGTGGCAGCCGCGGCCCGCAGAAGTCGCGAGACGCTGCGTTTTCGCTCTGGGTGCAGGCCGCCAGGCGACGGTTCTCGTCCCTGTCCTCGTCCCTTGCCTCCTCCTGCCCTCTTCCTCTTCCTTCCCTGCAGAAAGAGCGCAGACCCTCCACGGGCGAGGAGAGAGGTTCAGTCTTGATTTAAACAGGGAAGAGGCGAATGGTGAGTAGGAAGGGGTGGTCAAATGATGAAGATTATTGTGTGCTTGTGGTTTGTGTTATAGTTGTGTGTCCAGTTCGGTTGTTACGCTGTTTCGGTCCTTGTGATGGTTTGTTGTTTGTGTGTTGGGTGGTGTGTTGTTTGTTTGTTTGCTGATATTGTTGGTGTTTGTGTTGTTGCTGGTGATGACGGTGATGACAGCGTTGATGCTTACTGTTATGGCGGATGATGATGATGTTACGGGTGATGATGGTGATGATTATGACGATTATGATGATGATGATGACGATGATGATGATGATGATGGTGATGATCATGATGATGATGATGATGATGATGATGATGATGATGATGATGATGATGATGATGATGATGATGATGATGATGATGATGATGATGATGATGATGTACTGATGTCGGTTGCGATGGTAGTGATGATGAGGATTAACAAGGAAAATGAGGAAGATGACGACGACGAGAAGGAGGAGGAGGAGGCGGAGGACGAGGAAGAAAACGAAGAGGATGTGGTGGACCAGGAGGATGAAAAAGGACGACGAAAAGGAGGAGGAGGGGGAGGAGCAAGAGAGGAAGGAAAAGAGGAGGAGGAGGAGGAGGAGGAGGAGGAGGAGGAGGAGGAGAAAGAGGAGGAGGAGGAGGAACATGAGGGAGAGGAGGAGGGGAAAGTGGATAATGTGGAAAAGCATGAGGAGGAGGCGGAGGAGGAGGAGGGGGAGAAGGTGGAGGAGGAGGAGGAGGAGGCGCGGGAGGAGCAGGAGGACGAGGAGCAGGTGGATGAGTAGGAGGAGGACGAGGACGAGGGGACGAGGAGGAGGAGGAGGAGGAGGAGACGGAGGAGGGGGGGGATGAGGAGGCGAAGGAGGAGGAGGAGGACGAGGAGGACGAGGAGGACGAGGAGGACAAGGAGGAGGAGGAGGAGGAGCAGGGAGGAGGAGGAGCAGGATGGAAAGGACCTGTGTCGGGACCGAGCCATGGCCCAGTCCGCCTCTGGACCGGAACGGACGGGCCTGATCGGGGTCAGGATCGGGCCGTGCGACCCGCGGCGACTGGCGGCGACGACTGGGATCGGTATCGAGTCGGCGGCGACGATTAGTGCAAGCGTCGTCGTCGCCGTCGCCGCCCTCGCCGTCGTGGTCGTGGTCGTGGTCGTGGTCGTCGTGGTCAGCGTCGAATCGGCGCCGCCGCCGCCGTCGCCTTGCCGTCGTCGCCGTCGTGGTCGCGGTCGTGGTCGTCGTGGTCGTCGACGGCGTCGTCGACGTCGTGGTGGTAGTTGTGGCGGTGGTGGTCGTCGTGGTCGTCGTGGTGGTGGTCGTCTTCGGCAGCGCTTCTAAGATGCGAGTGTCCGGGCCGGCGCCGGGGGACTACCAGGCACGCCGCGCGTGGGGGGCAAGGGCCCGCCGCCTCACTCTGCGGGCCTTCCTCTCCTCTGGACCCCCTCTCCGAGCCCGAACGTCGTCGCAACCGCCGTCGCGGTCGTGGTCGTGGGCGTTGTCCTAGTCGTGGGCGCGGTCGTGGTCGTGGTCGTGGTCGTTGCTGTCGTCGTCGTCGTCGTTCAGTGGTGGAAAATTATTTTCCGCTACCCCGTCTATCGCTACCGCTACCCCGTCTATCGCCGCCACAGCTGGATTCGCTTCGAAATCCTGGTCAGAACGCACCTTGTGAGAGGCCCGGGGAGTAGCTGTATCGGTATCCTTTTGCCTCCCCAGTCGTGGTGGTCGTCTCCCTTTCCTCCCTCCCTCCTCCTCTGCCTCTCCTCCATCCCTTTTCCTTATCAGTAACCCCTCCCTGCCGCGCCATCAGAGGTGTCCGCAGGCCAGGCTTGGCGTTTCGCTTGAGACGTCTGTGCAATTTGCACATCATCCCGAAGTTTTGAAACTTGCAGCAGTTACGCGGATGGGGGGCCTGTCATTTTCATATTGTGGCTCTCGCTTTCGCACCGCGCACATTCGTCCTACATGTTTTCAACAGTTGCGCGGGCGTATGGCTCTTCAGCAGCTGCCCGGGTGGAGGGCCTGTGGTTTCAATAATGGGGCTCTCGCTTTCGCGCCGCGCACATTTGTTGTTCGGAACAAGAACAGTACCATGGTGCACGGATGGGGGCCAACATGTTTTCAGTATGGGGCTCTCGCCCGAGACGTCTTCGAACATATTACCACGTGTGTATCAACGTGAAGCAGTTCCTGGGTGGAGGTCGATACCTTTTCGAAATGGGTTTTCGCTTGAGACTTCGCACAGACGCGCTACCATGAGTTTGTTTCGTGCAGCAACTATATGATGCAGGGCGGTTCCTTTTCAAAGCAGGGCTGTTGTTGGGCACTTCGTTCGTCGCCATCGTCCTAGTATTCGTTGTCATCTACTTTTCCTCCCTCCGCTCTCCTCCCTCCTACGGAATTCGCCCACACCCACGATATCGAATGGTGTGAATTCACCCCTTGGCCAGATGCCGAGGTTTGTGACATCCTGCTGTTCTGCAAGAAATGCTGCCAGTACGATTCAACCAAACCTCTGGACCTGGGAAAGGTCTGTCCCAGGTTTGGTGTTCCTGGTTGGAAGCGCATGGAGGCGGCGCAGCACACGTGGCGCCGTTTCAAGCTGCACAGGCACCCCAAGTGCCGCCATGACGAGATCATAATCGCGCAGTGGCCTTTCTCATTGGATTTCCACAGGGGTGGCGAGGCCCCAGTGGTCTCCCCCTAGTTTGGGCCCGTTTTCCCCATGGCCCCTCTGGCGAGACCCTCACCGCGTGGAGGAACAAACCAAACTCCTCCCTGTGCTCCTTCTTTTCTCTCACCTGCGCTCGACCTTCTTCCTCTTGGGTCAGGGACTGAAGCGACTTCCCAGTGGTCAGAAACAGGTTTTTTGCTGATGTGCGCTCAGTCGTAGTTCGTGTCATCACCCTTCCTTGTGCCCTCTCTCGCTTGCACCTTTCCCCTTCCATTTCGCCCTCACACGTCTGGATTTCAGTGCTCAGTTAGTTTAGACCGTGACGCTCAAGGGAGGCGCGCGCTCTCTCACACATGTGGGCTGATCGAGCAGCGCGCAGGAAGAACTCACAGGATCCCCCTCGTGCTCCTCTTCCCCTGCGCACCCGCCCCCGATGCTTCCCCGAGGTAGGGGAATACGTGGGCCCATCCGTGGGCCTACCGCTTTTTGGAGGTCTGCTCATACGGATGCTGCGTTGTCTGTTGTGTCTTGCATTGCATTGCAGTGCAATCGCATTGCATTGCATTGAGATGCAATTACGTTGCAGCGCAATCGCATTGCACTGCATTCAGGGAGGGTGGATGGAGAGAGGATGGAGAGGCGGACGGGGAAGGATTGAGGAGGGAGGGGACAGGGGTCGGAGTCACCCAGTGCCGCCAACGTGGCAACAGTTTTCAAAGAAGACACCAACAACCAACCATAAGCGAAAACACATCGTCAGGTCTACGAAAATTGACAAATCAAACATTTCGGAACGTATGCTGCCGCAGACGTCCGATCACCGAGATCCTTTGTCGGAGCCTTGATGTTTTGTTTTTTTAAGACCTGTGTGTTGTTTTTGTTCTAGTTGTTGAAGACCCCTCCTTACTTTCGCAGGTTCTTACACGTTCGCGGCAGCGTCTGATTATGCACCCTTCCGCCTCCTCCCTCTGGGGGGTGATTCAATCAGATTGGTTCTGACACCGCGACTGATTGTATTCGACGGTCCTGTTTGTAATGATCAGTGCGCTACACACACAGGGCGCCCATTCCATCAGGAGGTAACAGTTGGAACGCCATCCCCACAGGAGGCAACACTTTCCAACAGTGTCCCTTCCCTTGTCTCTTGTACCCATCGTCCTCCTGCCGCTCGCTTCACACTGTGATCCGCCCCTGGGAGAATGATTGCGTCTAATCGACTCACAGACAAAGTGGCAGACCATAGAACAGCAATCTAAACAAGAAACAGCAATTGCCAAGGTACTGCCTTGTCTTGTACGTATCATCCTTCTTTTCGTTCACTTGTCCATTGATATCCTCCACTGCGCGGTTGATTGTACCGAGCTGGCTCAACAACCGCCGTGCTATGCTAAGAGGACAACGTTCCTCACGGAAACCGTAATTGCTCACCATTGCATCAGGTCTGTCGAGAAGTTTTCATACTGCATTTCTCCGCACATCTATTCTTGGAGGGCTAATCCATTCATATTGGAGTGCATCCTTCCGAAAAGCGATTCAATCACATTGAACCTGAAGCCGCGATTGTCCAGACTAGACGAACCTGTTTGTAATGATCGCTGCGCTGCACACATATGACGCCCAGTCCAGCAGGAGGTAGCAAATTGGAGCGCCATCCCCGCAGGAGGCAGCGGTTGCCAAATTATTGCTTTGCGTTGTCTCTCTCATCCCTCATCCTTCTGTCGGTTCCAGTACGATCCGCCCTTGACAGAATGACGCATACCGTGCTATGCCATAGAAGAGAAATCTCATCAACAGGCATTGTCTTGTCTTGCATGTATCCTCCATCTTCCTCTTCACCTCTGCGCCAACGTGTTTAACGACCGCCGCGCTATGCAAAGAGGACAACGTTCCACTCGGAAACCGCAGTTGCCAACCGTTGCATCAGGTTCGCGGAGAAGCGCGCGTGCTGTCTTCCTCCGCGCACCCATTCCCCCAGGGCAGACTCATGCGGGATGAACGTGCACTGAAGATCTGAGCAAATTCTATGAGTGTCGTCATTAGAACATTGTATGCTTGTTGACGAATTCCATGCAAATCACCATGTGCGCACGTGCAAGTGGAACCCGCACTGCGTCGACCGCCGGAAGCGCCGCCTCCGCAACGTCAACAGCTCCATCGCGGAGTCCATTTTCAGCTGGTTCCGCGGATACGCGCGCAGCTTTAATGAGCTGCGCGCGGAGCGCAGTCGATTTATCATTCTGTATTTCGCCAAGCGGCACGATTTTCTCATGGGCTGCGGAGGCCCGTCCACTTGAACAAACGCATGGTTGCGATGGCGGGGAAGAAGAAATCCAAACCGTACCCTTGCATTCCCAAGCGAAAGGGCGAGTCGGCTGCAGCCGAGAAGATCGCTTCTACAACTGCGCGAATTTCCGCGAGCAGGAAGAAACACTTGGCGAAACACCTGCGCCAGAAGAAAAGGGTCAAGAACTGAGTTTCTTCCTTGCTCACCGCAGTTTTGGCAGTGGCAGATTCGGGCGGGGCGTTGTGTGTCCAGAATGCACATTATGCCGAATAACTTTGCGCGACGGCTGATTGATCTCGATGACTTCGCGTTTTTTTGGGTGGGTTCCCGGCCAAGAACGCTTTGACCGAAATGGGGGCATGTACATTGTAACGGGATTTAAGAATTCAGGCTGGCGTTGGGGAGCCGTGCGCCTGCATGCGAGAGCATGTGTACTGGAACGTGCTAAACGAATACATCGTTGACACAATAGTGCGACATAAGTACACTTCGGGCAATTATTCTCTCTCTCTCTCTCTTTCTTCCCGTTTTTGCTACTTTGTGATTTACGAGTTGACGCTGAAACTGGGGGACCGTGCGCCTGCATGTGAACGCATATTTGTTGATACAACGTCGCCAATTCTCACAACTACCATTTTTCCTTCGTTCTGCTGCTCTGCCACATCATACTCTTTCATGCTCTTCCTCCTCGTTTCCCTCCTTGCCGCCCCTGTCTCGGCGTGATTCGTGTTGCGCAATGTGACTTCAAGGGGCGATTCAATCAAATAACTGTTGGCGGTTAATAACAGCGGTGCAGATGATGACGAGTTTCGCGCGTGGACGGTTTGGTTCCCCAGCCCATAAGTGGGCCCACATATTCCCCCTGCCCCCCTTCCCCGGGGTGCCTTCTCCTACTCCTACTCGAGCTATCAGAGACGGGGGTCAACGCAAACGGGGGTCAGCCAGAGCGCCGGATCTTGCAGGATCCCGCAGAGCCAGGGGTGCACTGACCTTGCAGGATCATGTAGGATTCTGCAGGATCCTGCAGAGAGCCCGACCGACCCGGGTTTGCATTGACCCAGGTCTTTGGCGTCCCCGACCTGATGCTGCAGCTGCTGTTGCTTTTCCAGCGCCCCTCCTCTGCCGCCTCTGCACCCGCCCAGGTCACCCGCAGGGGCGCGGAGCTTGGCCGATCGTCGCGCTTCGCGGTCTGGGCCAGGGAAGTCGCGGCTACGCCTCCACGGGGCGGCGCGGGAGCGCGAAGCATGTAGCCCTCGCCTCGCGCCTCGCGCAGTGCAAGGAGGCCCCCAGGCGTCCTGGATCCCCGTTGGGGCGTCTCTCCGCGGAGGTCCCCGGGGGCTCCCCCAGAAGTCTTGAGGAGGACCGAGCTGTTTGAAACTGCTCAGGAGCCGTAAGTCCTCGATCCTCAAAGCCAGAGGACCTGATTCGGTCCGGCGTTTTTTTGCGGAGGAGGAGGAGGAGGTGGAGGGGGAGGAGGAGGAGTGCAAGTCCAAGGCGTACCAACGATGTTGGAATCACTTCTCCCTCTACGCTTCCTCTTTATATGCCCCGCCCGTTTTTTCCATTGCGGGAAGTGCCTCATTGAAAAGCAGCCGCCTGAAGCTTGCAAATCGCGCCGAAACGCAACTCTTGGAACTCCAATACCACGAATCAGCGTGACTGTTGCATCCTGGCACTCGTAAATCGTGCCAGAACTCGATTCCTCTGGATTTCAACACCGCGGATCAGTGTGATTGTTGCACCCTGGCAACCCCAAATCGCGCCAGAACGCAATTACTGGGACTTCACCCCTACGAATCCTTAGAGCTGTGTGAACTTCGAAACGTATGTGTATGGCGTTAAGACGAGAGCCACATTTTGAAGAGGCCGCCTTCCATCCTTGATGGTGTTGTGACCTTTTAGAACGATTGTGCGCAGCGCTAGGGCGAGGGCCACATTTTGCAATCGGCCCGCCACCAATCTTCGAAATTGCTACAAACTTTCAAATTAATGTGCACAGCGTTAAGACGAGAGCCACATTTTGAAAACGGCCCGCCCTCCATCCTTGAAACTGTTGCAACCTTTAAGCTTCAGATCAGAAAGGCGAGTAAGTCGTAGGCGATGCGCCCGGCCCGCCCTACCGACACGTCTGGGGGTGCGACAGCGATGATTCGTTCACAAGGGAACGGGACGGAGGAAGCCGACGAGGATGAAGAGGAGGATGCGGGATGTGTCCCCCGCCTCCTCCCCCTCTCAACCTTGCCCTCCTCCCACTCCCCCTCCCTCCCCACTGCTTGCCCGCCCTCACCCCCGCCCCCCCTTGCCCTCCCTCGGCGCCCCGCGAGATCGATGGGGCCCGTGGGCCCACCGGCACCTTCAAGTCGGTGAAGTGGACGATGCCCCACGCGGGCGGCCGGACCGAGACGAAGGCGCGGCCTTCCGCGCCCGCGCGTGCCGCCGCCGCCGCCCGGCTCTCGGAGGCACGGGCTCTCCACTCCCAAAGCGCCCCGCTCCATGCTGCTCTGTTCTCCACACCACTCCCCTCCCCTCCCAGGCCCAGGCGCACTTCTCCTCTCATGTCCTCTGCTCTCCCCTCCACTCCTCCTGCGGCCCACTCCATGTTGCTCTTCCCTCCTGCCCACTCCGCTCCCCTCCCCTCCCATGCGCCCCCCCCCCCCCTTCATCTCCCCCGGATCTCCTCTCCGCTCCCCTGCGCCCCACTCCATGGCGCTCTTCTCTCCAAACCCGACGCCCCGTCCCTCATCGGCAGCGCAGCCGACCTGGGCCTGTGGCCGCCCGCGATGCGAGCTGGCTCGCCCCAGAGGCTTCTCCTCGATCATCTCTCGGGCTCTCGGGGCCTCGAGCTCGGGCTCCGAGGCCTCGGTGTCGGCCCTCGGGGTCGCCAGGAGTGAATCGGGGGGGGGGGGAGACCTGGCCTAGACGCCTAGACCTCCCACATGAGGTCCGAGTAGATGGTCTGAGGATCGCACCGCATCGCCGATGCATCGGCGATGCGGGTCGATGTGAAACCCAAGCGGCCCCGGTTGGGCGCTTCAAAGCGGTGCAGTGACAGACCTTGCGGTGATCTCGAAATCCTTGAAAAAGACCTCAGCGCACGGTCTGTCACCGCAAGATTTTGGGATCTTGGAGGCCCCAGTCGCCCGAGACGTTTTCAGAGAACGAGCCAAGTCCCAAAACCGTTCGATCACCCGAATCCTCACTGACTCACCTCACGGTGTTGTCACCGCACCGCTTGGGAGCCCCCGAGAATTGGAGGGACTTTGCCAGTGTATCTTACCTTGGGGGGAGGCAGAGCACTTTCGGAGGTATTGATACCGCTGCTCGTCATGGAGAGCCCTCGTCGCCACGGCTGGATTCCCCACGAGATCCTAGTCAGAATGCAGCAGCCCAGGAGAGGTCCAGGGAGTAGCGGTCTCAGAGCCTTTTGGGCCCCCCACTGCCAGTGTGTCTTTACGGCATGTTCACGTCGTGCCGACGTGGCGGCGAGCCGCGGGCGCTCAATCTTGAACGCCGCCAGTGGCCAGTGGCCCAGAGCAGGCCGATGTGGAGCGATCTGGCGATTGAAGGCTAAATGATCCACGCGGCGTCAGACACCAGCGCCCAGGTCGTCACGACACGAGCTTGCCGTGCTCTAGGCCTCCTAGATGGGGTCCGAGTAGATGGGGTCGGAGGATCGCGCCACATCTCCGATGCATCGCCGATGCGGCTCGATGTGCAGCCCGACTTGTTTCACGTCGACGTCGCCGATGCATCGCCGATGCATCGCCGATGTGTCGGCGATGTGGCGCGATCCTCCGACCCCATCTACGAGGCCTCTAAGTGCCCGGGGGGGAGGGCGCTTCCTGCTGGCGAGGCGGCGGCTTGGGGGGTCGGGTTGGGCTTCGGCTCCTGATGTCCCTCGTTCGCCCTCTTGAGCTGCCACCTCGACCGACGGATCGACCGAGCCCCTCCCCCTCGGCCTCCAGAGGCCCCCCCAGTGGCCCCCCCCAGTGGCCCCCCCGGTCGTGCCGCCGCCAGGGGCCTCCAGGGAGGATCTTCCAGGGAGGATCAGGAGTCAGGGGCGACGCTGGTGGAGATGTTCGACCACCAATCGCCTATTCATCGCCGGTAGGGGCCCGATAGCCCAGTTAGACCAGTGAGCCATCGGGCACGTTCCTAAGAGGGGATACCCCTCGCAGGATCGCGCGGTTTCGATACCGGGGGCCTATTGCCGATCTATCGGCGACGTGTCGCCGATTTTGGCTCGATTTTTCACCCCCTGGTGATGCGGTCCCCTCCTATCGGTTCCCGTGTCGGGCGAAACGAGGGGTATTGGTATGGGGGGTGCGACACGTGCTGGGGGCAGCTGGTTTCGGCCCCACTTGCAAGCGCCATTGGGTATCAAGGTCGCCGTCTAGGACACTTCAGCTGGCGGATCGAAACAGATCGAAAGCATTCGGAAGCGATGGGTGTGCAGCAGTAGGATGTCGCACAGAAGCGCCTTCGGAGCGCGCCAGAGTGCGCCGCGTGCGAGCGGGAACGCACGGAAAGCGCCTTCGAGCCGGCCACGCGCAGAGAGGGGTAGAGGGAGGGGGAAGGCTTCTAAGAAGCACCCCTGCTTCGAAGAAGGCGTGGGTCTTATCTATAGAGGTAAGGTCGGCGCCTTCTAAGAAGCAGCTTCCTTCTAAGAAGCCTCCCCTCTTCCTCCTACACCCTTGTGCGCGCCGCCAGGTGAGCTGGTTCGCTAACCTTCACTTTTGCTATCCACCTTTGTCCAGCCCGATGGGTCTCTCCCAGGGGCGACAAGGCAGTCACGCTCCGCGCGTCGCGGTCCAGACCCGAGAGCCGCCCTCCTCCGAGGCGGCCTCGCGAAGGTGTGGACACCGCCGCGTGTCGCACATCGCTGGCCGCACTTCGCGAAGTCGCGTGACCGTGTTTAGCCACGCGCAGAAGGGGGGTAGGGGGGATGGGATGGGGGTGGGCTGCCCATGCTCTTCAGAAGGGGCGGGCCTTGTCTGACGATGTAGTGCCGGCGCATTCCAAGAATCAGCCTCCCTTCAACTAGCCTTCCGCCTCCCCCCACCCACATGCGCGCGCCGCCAAACCGTGGGGGAGGGGATGGCCCGGCCCCCTCCCGCCTCTATACGAGATCGACGCGCTCCGCCGCTGAATCAGGAGGCGCTGGCTTCATGTCTTGGGGGGTGCTTGACTCGATCCCTGGATTTGGTGCCCACGCGCCAGATCCACAGATCCGTAATTCATGTTAGCCGGGCCCACTCCGCGAAAGATTGCGTCCTCCGCGGGAGTTTCGCCGTGCTCGCGGCCGCGGCCAGCGCTTGCTCGCGCGCCGATTCCGCCGCCGCCGCCGCCGCTGCGCAAGAGGTGAAGGAGACCGACGGCTTCGGCCCGGGCGCCTACGAGGCGAGAAGCCCCGCGGGTGGGAGCGCACTTGCACCGCCATGGGCCAGAGGTCGAAGGGCGCCAGCTGGGCACGCACACTGGCAGGATTGGTGCATAGACGCCTGCCAGGCCGAAAGTGCATGGCAATTACATACATAGTATGTGTGCGTATATATATATATATATATATATATATATGTATATATATATATATATATATAATATATATATATGTATGTATATGTATGTATGTATATATATAAATATACACGACCACCCTTCGGGTGATAAGGAGGTTGTGGGGGGGGAGGGGGGGGAACCAACATCTGACTCAATCGATCTCACTATCGATCTCACTCAACGGGACACCACGGGACACAACGGGACACTTGTCGATCTCATTATCGATCTCACGATCGATCTCACTCAACGGGACACCACGGGACACCGCGGGACACCACGGGACACCACGGAACACCGCGGGGCACGCCTCGCTCTCACTATCGGTCTCACTATCGATCTCATTATCGATCTCATTCAACGGGACACCATAGGACACCACGGGACACCACGGGACACCTCGGGACACCACATCGATCTCACTGTCGATCTCACGATCGATCTCACTCAACGGGACACCACGGGACACCACGGGACACCCGTCGATCTCGCTATCGATCTCACTATCGATCTCACTTTTCGGGCCACCACGGGGCACCACGGGACACCAGCGGGACACTGGAGGGACACCGCGGGCCATCGGCCGCCCGAGGAGTTACATTTGGTCCGGCCGCGGCCCAGCCGCAGGAGGATTTCGGGACACCGGCGGGACACCGGCTGGACACCTGCGGGACACCGCGGGGCACTGGCCGCCAGAGGAGTTACATTTGGTCCGGCCGCGGCGGCGGCCCAGCCACAGGAGGATTTCCTCTCGCCCGCCCACGCAGCTTCGCCTCGCCCGCACGCACGCACGGCACGCACGACACGAACCCGAAACCGAAATCGATTTCCCGGTAGGGGGGGTCTCCGTTTCACGTCGGACTCACCCCCCAACCTCCGATGTATACACTCATGTGTAAATGTAGACCTAGAATCACATAGGCAAGCATCGTATATTCTAATTTTACCCACAGACCTTGCCCAGACTAATGTTGAGGGTTTGCCCAGACCCATGCTGCGTCCCCCAAGGAGAAGGAGCAGGAGGACACCCCAGCTGTTTTAAAACGTTTTGAAGCCTGCCTGTGGCAACTCTGTTTGAAGATTGAAGATTGAAGATCCATGTGCACTTATGTTTGTGATTCTTCAAGCGCGTGTGTGTAGGGTAGACGTCTTGGGCGGCTCTGTTTGAAGATTGAAGATTGAAGATTCCTGTGCACTTAAGTTTGTGATTCTTCAAGCGCGTGTGTGCAGGGTACACGTCTTGGGCGGCTCTGTTTGAATATTGAAGATTGAAGATTTCTGGGCACTTATGTCTGCGAGTCTTCAGACACTAAACTTGCACGATGTCGTTGGTCAGTTTGAAGAATCCATAAGTCTGCTGCTCTCTTAAACCTTCAATCTTCAAACTGGGCTGCCGGAGGCCAGTTTTAAAACGTTTAAAACTACTTGGGGGGGGTCTTCAATCAGGGGTACACAGACCCTGTTTGAATATGCGGGCAAGAAGTCAGCTCAGATCTTCGATCTTCAATCTTCAAACAGGCAGCGGGAGGGATAGAGAGGGAGTGAGAGAGGAGGAGGAAGGAGGGAGGAGAAGGAACGAGGAAGGGGGCGGAGGAGGAAGAGGAGGAAGGAGGAGGAGGGAAGAGGAGGAGGCACTAAATTTGCACGTTGTCGTCGGCCAGTTTGAAGAATCCGTACCGTAAGTCTGCTGCGTTCTTCAATCTTCGATCTTCAAACCGGGTTGCCGGAGGCCAGTTGTAAAACGGTTTAAAACTACTGGGGGGGTCTTCAATCAGGGGTACACAAATCTTGTTTGAGGCAATATGTCTGCCCATATGTTCGACCTCCAATCTTCAAACATGCAGCGCTAGGGAGAGAGAGGGAGGGAGAGAGGAGGAGGGAGGAGGGAGGAGCAGGAACGAGGAGGAGGACGGAGGAGGAGGAGGAGGGAGGAGGAGGAGTGAGGAGGAGGAGGGAGGAGGAGGAAGGAGGGGGGAGGAAAAGCGGAGGAGGAGGGAGGAGGAGGAAGAGGAGGGAGGAGGATAAGGGAGAAGGGAGGAGGAGGATGGGGAGGAGGCAGGGAATATGAGAAGGAATATGATGAGGAGCAGCTTTAAGGATATCTCCAACATGTAGCTGCCTTCCGTAAGCACATTGGCTCGACAACTAAACTTGTACGCCGGTCGATTCCGAACCGATGTATTCGTCAAGGATGGGCTCAGGTCGCCGGCGGGCGCGCGAAGCTGGAGCTACAGATCGATGATGCAATCTGCGGTCAACGCCAGCAGCCTCTCCAGCCTCCCAGTGCGGACGCAGTGCGCGCCAGGCTGGCCTCGGAAGGTGTCGTCGTGCACCGTTGTCGTCTTCCACTGCTGAACAAGGAGTTGTACGGAATCGTTGGCAACGTTCACAGGATGTTATACATGCCCACGGGGCAGCGCTGCGAGTGGTCAGACCCAGCGTGGCGCCGCCTCTTCGACGCTCTTTCGCGCCCCAAGCGCGCGAACCATCCGGCGCTTCCGGTGCTGCTCGCGCCGCCGGCGCCGCCGCCGCCGCCGCCAGCGCTGCTGGCGCCCCCGGCGCCCCCGCAAGGCAACGAAGCGCCGCGGGGCAACGACGAGCAGAGCAGCGAGGCGAACGGCGCCGAGGACGAGATCAGCAGCTCGACCACAGACGCCGACCAGGACAAGGAGAGCGACGCGCCACCTGACGACGACGAGGGCGATGACAGCGAGGCGCCGCCAAACACCGACCAGGAGAAGAGCGATGGGGCCGCCTGGCGACAGCGCGGGCGAGGAGAGCGAGGCGCCACCTGACGACAGCGCGGACGTGGAGAGCGAGGCGCCAACTGGGCAGTACAAGGGCTTCAAAGAGCAGCTGGAGGCTGCTCGCACGCTCGAGGGGGAACTTCGCCTGGAGAGCTGGCTTCTACGAGGCCAGAGCGAGAAGCTCGAGGCCGACGAGCAGAAAGTGCAGGAGGAGAACGAGCAGCTTCTGGAGAGCCGCGAGGAGCTCTGGGAGGATAACGACCGCTTGGAGAGGGAGGTCAAGCGCCTGGAGCTCGAGGCTCAGAAGACGGAGGGTTAGGGCTCAGAAAGAAGGAGGGCGTCTGAGTCTGTGGGCGCGCTGCGCTGCGCTTGAGCCATCGACGTTCTTGTGTAACGCGCGTGAACGAGCTAGATCAACGAACGGGTCTATCGCAAGGAAAAAAACGAAGGCGGGGCCGCCATTCTTCAGATAGTCGCCATCGCGACGGCCATCTACTCGGCTCCCTTTCATTGCTGCGGTGTCTCCCGTGCAGGGGTTTTCCATGCCACCCTGCACCCTTGCATTTTGTTACCTTGCCTGGGTCTTGCATTCCAGCTTGCGCCCATGCAGTTGCAGCGCCGCTCAAAACCACAAGGAGCTCTGGGAGGAGAACGACCGCTTGGAGAACCCGCTGCGCTGGCATTTTGCCGCGGCCGCCTCGGCGGCAGATCGCGCGCGAGTGGGGCGCGCGCGACAGAAAACACAGCGCGCCCTCCTTTCGCATATCCGCCAGCGAGAGGCCGAGGAGAAGAATGGGGGGGGGGGCGGCGGACGAGGAGGGGGATCATCAGAGAAAAAGAAAAGGGATGAAGAGGAGGACCAGGGATAGGATGAGGAAAAGAAGGGGGGGGGGGCGCGAAGAGGGGGATCCTTAAGTCTGGGCAAATTGAGGGGTCTGGTCGTAATTTTATCCCAAGAAATACCATATGTAAAAAACATAGTACATCGCGGTGCGACATACTACGCGGTAGCTGCCTTCAACATACGGTATTGGATAACACCATGCAGTACCTATACGACCACCCTTCGGGTGCTGGAGGAGGTTGCGGGGGGGGGGGGGGGGGGAGGGAGAACCAACATCTGACTCAATCGATTTCACTATCGATCTCACTCAACGGGACACCACGGGACGCCATGGGACACTTGTCGATCTCACTATCGATCTCACGATCGACCTCACCCAACGGGACACCACGGGACACCGCGGGCCAACGCGGGACACCACGGGACACCGTGGGACACCTCTCGATTTCATTATCGGTCCCACTATCGATCTCACCATCGACCTCACTCAACGGGACACCGCGGGCCAACACGGGACACCACATCGATTTCACTATCGATCTCGCTCAACGGGACACCACAGGACACCTCGGGACACCTGTCGATCTAACTATCGATCTCGCTATCGATCTCCTTCAGCGGGGCTGTACGGGACACCTCGGGGCACCACATCGATTTAAATTTCGATCCCACCATCGATATCACTCAACGGGACACCACGGGACCCCACGGGATACCACGGGACACCTGTCGATCTCTTTATCGATATCACACTTCGGGGCATCACATCGATCTCAGTATCGATCTCACTATCGATCTCACGATCTATCTCATTCAACAGGACACCACGGGACACCACGGGACACCCGCGGGACACCGGCGGGACACCGCGGGGCACCGGCCGCCGGAGGAGTTACATTTGGTCCAGCCGCGGCCCAGCCACAGGAGGATTTCTTCTCGCCCGCCCACGCAGCTTCGCCTCCCCCGCACGCGCGGCACGGCACGCGCGACACGAACCCGAAACCGAAATCGATTTCCCAGTAAGGGGTGTCTCCGTTTCACGTCGGACACCCCCCCCAATTTCCGATACCAAAAGAGCAAATAACGACATACAAAACATAGCAGAAGGCATCATAACAGGCTTCAGCATTATTTTTTCATACTATGACCTGTCATGAAATACTATCCGATAGTAGTTACCATGATCTATTACACTAGAGTGTGTGCCAATATTATACGTTATACTTTGCAGCGTTGCAATCGGACATATG